TTTGTTTCCATAATGCTGCCGAATGGACCATGTAAATAAGAGTCACCTCCCATTTTCTCACCCAGTCTATGCTTCATGGGTCAAAGCGAGTACTAGCCTGGCTTAATAATATGTTTTATTGTGCTCTGTTCAGTTGGTGCATAATAGTGATAAAATGTTCCTGAAAAGCCAGAAAAAAAATAATCTGGCCACAAACAGACTTAGAAATCAAAGGTTGGCCAGAAGGCTGAAAATGTTGTGCTGCTTTTGGTATGGGCCAGGAAAAGAAAGCTTTATGTGATTGAATTTAAGTGGTTGTAAAGGCTCAAGGTTTTTTACTTTCATGGATTCTGTGCATGAAAGACATGCTGGTAGGTTAGTTGACTCCTGTCTAAATTGGCCTTAATATATGCAGAGATGTGGACATTTTTCTAAAAAACTACTTGTCCAGGGACTAAATCGGGGTCCCAAACTACTTGTCCCTCATGACAATCTACTTGTCCCGGTAAATAAAAAAAAATTTTATAATAATTTTAACCAAAACCATATTTAAATAAGGTCTTTGTTAAACTATTATCACTAGGGATTTTCAATGGATGCATGTCCCTTTAAACCATGAAATGACTTTGAAAGGATGGAAAATATGAAGGGTTGATGTATTTTATTAGGCGGTGATATAAGGAATATTTTGGGCTTCTAAAAACAAAGCAGCTTTACAGTGACCTAAATTTTTAACATTGCGCTGTTTATATCCTACTCACCTCCCAGCCTGTCTGCAGCACACCTGGGTACCAGCAGGGAGAGGAGAGACCTTGCAGTGTAATGAACACAGTTTGGGTGCTCGTCAGGAAAGGGGAGTAACAGTTTCTCGTAATGGTCAGCAGAAGCACATCTACTGAGTATGTAAATGAGGCACCGGACCCAAAGAGGGGAAAAAAAAAAAAAAAAAAAAAAAACAAACCTTGCACACGAAAGCACTTGGGTGCTCAGTACAAGCACATGCTGAGTAGCCAAATCAAGCTCCAGTGTTTGCCAGGCTTGGATCATTTTTTTTTTTTCATTCAACTCACTGATTGAATGAAAAATATGACTAATGTATGGACGGCCTTAATGAGCCTACCTTAAAAGAAGAATTTGATTAAAACAAGCAACTGTTGAGACAATCAACATCTTAGTCAGGTCTACGTACAGCATAATGTATAGATTGCAGGGGCCAGGAGTAAAAAAAAAAAAAAAAAAAAAAAAAAAAAAAAAAAAAAAAACATATAGAGTGCAGCAGTGAGGATGAGCAACATGTTCACATCAAAGTCCCGATCTTTACCCCTATACATCAGAGTCCCTCCTTACATCATTGTCCAGTCGAGTCCCTGCTTACATCAAACCCTGCTGGTGTGCCCCCTTACATCAGAATGTGGTGGAATGCCTCCTTTAGTCAGAGCTATGCGGAGTGCCCCCCTTTGTCAGAGCTCAGTGGCAAGTCCCCTTTCCTCAAAGTTCAGCTAACTGGACATGAAATAGTTAAGTGTGAAGCTCCTGGAAGAACAGGGAGGTAGATAAGGAGAGAAGTGAAGAAGGTGGAGAAGCTCCTTGATAGATCAGAGATCGCTCATCCCCAGGCTGCTCTCTGCAAGCTCAGACATAGGCAATCATACAGCCGGATGGATCATCAAATTTCCCGCCCACACCACGGGGCAGTCATGGAGGAGAGGGGTGGGAAGAGGTGGAGAAACCGTTATCTCTCTCCTTTCTCATCTATGAGGGGAGGCGGGGCGGCGGAAAGTGTGCTGTCTGAATGAGTGTCACAGACACTGAGCGTGCACAGCTGCAGCCTGTCCGCCCCAGAGTTTACCAATCACATTCTTAAGCAAGCCCTGCTGCTTGCCTGCAGCATGGCTAACTGTAAGGAAAAACAACCTGCCCGGCGCCCGGAACTACATGTCCCGGGTTGTCAGGCGATAGGATTGGTACATCCCTGTATATGTATGAATGTAAGTTAAGGACCTTAGATCCATGCTCCTTGAGAGTTAGGGACTGATGTGAACGTACAATATACTGTATGTAAAGTGATGCGTAAATTGAGTACCTAAAATAAATGAAGGTAAAAAAAAAACCTTGTGTGTGCAGCTTCCCTCCAACCAACCCAATACTTAGCTAAGCCCCATCTCAATCCAGCAATGTGCATGAGAGCCTCGGCTGTCCTGGGTCTCTCCCTCCTCACTGGCTGAGACAGCAGCGGAAGCCATTGGCTCCCGCTACTGTCGATCACAGCCAGTGAGCCAATGAGGAGAGAGCAAGAGCCATATCTATTTGTAAATGGACACACAGAGCAGCAGCTCTGTCTTTACAATCACCTAAAGGAATAAACGTGGGTAGGAAACCACCTGGCATTTTCATGTGATCTTTCCTGTGTGTTACCGACCTCAAAAGTGTGCTGAAAAAGAAAAAAAAAAAAGTAAAATCAAATCATTATGCTGAGAGTCCTCCTCTTCACCTTTTCTATTTGACAAAAATATCTCACAACACCCAATATATTTTAAAGTGAAAACATTTAGTTAAAAAAAAATAAAAAATTAAACAGCACCAGTAAGGGAGCTCATTGCACTGCTGGAGGGGAGGCAAGTTTAGTCCTACATTAAAGATCCTATAAGTGTGTGTGTAGCCTGACAAATACCTACATTTAAACACTGTAAGAAAACCTGGACACGTACTCAAGCCTGTACAGAAACAAAAAATGCTCAAACTAATTAGGGATTTTTGTACCTACTGTAAAATCCTTTTCTTGGAGTCCAATGAGAGACACAGAACTATCCAAAAGCAGTTCAGAAACAGAGGGTTGGGCACTCTCCAACAGTTAAAAGGTGAAACAAAGCCACTTGCAATTTCTTGCAACTAAAACTAGAATCCACTGATGAAGACATCCCTTTAGTAAAGTTTAGGTAGGGTCAAAGCACAAGTTGCAGCTTTAAAACCCTGAAAACACAGAAGCCCAATGGGGAGACACCCAGGAAACACTCACTGTTTTAGTGGAGTGAATCTTAAACAAGAATGTGAATACTCTACCCTTCAACTCATGGATGCCTGAACAGTGTAGCAAATCCACAAATTGGGGAGCATCCAGATAAACTCTAACAACATCTAAACAATTAAGAGAAGTGTCTTTAGGATGGGTCAGAGCCAGCCACAAAAAAAGGAAACTCTTCACTCAAGTGAAAAAAACAAAACATTTTAAGTAATAAAAAAAAAATAAAGACTGTCTCACCATAACCACAAAATTCATAAAGCACCAAAAAGGGCTTCTTAAAAACGACAGAGGCTCCAGCTATTAAACCTCCCTGCTGATATAATCACCGAAAGGCCACCTTGTGGAAAAGAGAAGATAAGAAAATACCCCTAATTGGGTGAAAGAAGGTTTTCTAAAGGACTGATAACACGGAGTTAAAGTAGCAGAGATAAACGTAGTGCTATAACACCACTCCCAGAATTAAGGTCAGCATCAATGAAGAGAAGGGCCATTGCCTCTGAAAAAAAGAATGGCCAAAGCTCACATCACAAGTGACTCCTGATGGTCCACTCCTAGCCCAAGAAAGAAAAAGTTGCAAAAAAGGTAAAAAAAAACCCTATTCTCACACTGGCCAAAACAGGCTTTCCAAGTTCAACAGCAAACCATCTGAAAAGAAGATTTACATCCTTATTTAAGGCAATGGTTAAACAAAGCAGGATTATAGAGCCTAAGGGCTGGCCTTCAGTTCCTCTGTGTCTAGTGTCCAATCCTCTGTAGGCAGCAGTAAACCTCATTGGGGTTGATTTACTAAAACATGCAAAATTGGGTGCAGCTGTGCATGGTAGCCAATCAGCTTCTAACGTCAACTTGTTCAATTAAGCTTTGACAAAAAAAAAAAAAAAAAAAAAAAAAAAAATATAGATTGGTTTCTATGCAGAGCTGCACCAGATTTTGCACTCTACAGTTTTAGTAACATGAACCCCATTGTGTACGAATATGAATTGCAATATCCTTCAATGGACTAGAAAGAAAATAGGAACTGCATTACACAGGAGGAAATTATACATATAGTAATTACGAAGACTATTTGTCTATTGGTTTTATATCCTACAATCAAGTGTGAATATATATCATTTTCTAAAACCTGTACTACCAATTCATGGTTTAGAAAAGATAAGTGGATGTCACCTTTACTTTTTGCACTGAAAGTGTCATTCTCTGATAATCTGGTAAAAATGACCTGTATTTTCTGCTCATTCTACTGCAGTTCACTTGCATGATATGTAGGACAATATTGATAGCTCTGTGCATCAGGAAGGATGAAGGAACCGCTTCTCGTCCTCTGTCTATGGACAACAGCAATTGAGGGTACTTTTTTTTTTGGTGCATACCTTATTAGTATTTTGTGACATTTCCAGTACAATGGGAGCGCAGAGAGATGAAACACATGAAGCCACTTGCAATCCACAAAACTCAGTAGCCTTTTTTTTTTTTTCGTGATATGTACCATCAACCACCATCAGCATGGATGTAAAATTTTGAATAAAACAATGTGAGGAACGCCTGTAAAACTGAAAATTTTTATCTGTACACTCATTCAAAAAAATAAATGAAGTCATACAAGGAGTTTGTGACAGTGACTTGGGAAATATTCAGAAGTATATGCACAGCAATAGATAAAAATTACTATATCTCATTTGTAAAAAGGTTTCTTTTTTTGAGACACTTGAGAAAAAAAAAAAGTGTCTGACTACCGCTGTGTGGTGTACATCATTGAACGTGTAGAAAAACTGAATATTTGTCAAAAAAAACTTTGTACAAATATAAACATGGTGAAAGTTCAGTTTATTTTTGGTGGAAAGTAGACTTATGTGACTTTACAGACTGCCAATATTTCAACACAACTTTGAAAAATGTATTTAATGTGACTACAACAAAATGAACAACTCTATCAGTAATTCTAGACATATCAAGTTGTAAGTGCTTTTTAAGGACAGAACAGGTAGAAAAAGGCACTAGCTTATTTTTTACAAGCCTGATATCTTTCAGATACATTCTGCCAGTTGATGACATTCCAGATGGCTTTCAGGTAGTCTGGCCTAACATTTTTATACTGAAGATAGTACGCATGCTCCCATACATCAATGCCCACAAGAGGAATAAGACCTGTGAGAAATAAAATAGGAAACTTAGTATGACAGTAGACCATCTGTTTCATGCAAGGATAGGTTTGGGGAGATGGGGGATGCTTTATTAATATATATATATATATATATATCATTTAAAGTGTAACTAAATGGTAAAAAAAGTTTTTTTGGGGTTTTTATTAGGTTTGGATAGAGTTGAGAAGGATTAAAAAACACTTGTCAGTTTTTATTGATATCCTTTAGGGAGATTCACCCTCTCCATTTGTCCGGTTTACTAGGATCATCAAATGTGAAAGTAAAAGAAAAATTTTGGGTTGACATCAGAACAGTAATAAAAGGGGAAATCTTCCAATTCGAACACTAGTTGTAGTGACATCCAGGGATTCCCTCACTTTGGAGGGATTTCTACTCAAATTCTGTTTTGGCTATGGAACAAAAAAGTCAATGGAAATCTCCCCTTACTGGACACAGATGGCAAACAAAAACTTGATAGGGGTTATAGCCATACCTTACTCTATCCAGATTGAAAAAAAGAAAAAAAGTTTTGCTTTTATTTCTACTTTAACATCATAATATATACAAGTAAGATACTGTATGTAGTCAAATAAAAAAGGCACCACTGTGATAGAATATAGAGGGGAAAAAAAAAAAAAAAAAACACCACACACAAAACATACTGTAAATAAAAATTAAAAGTACAGTAGCTAACAAGTAAATGTCAACAAAGAACACTCCATAACCAAGGTGCATGAAGGGATTTATCGGTCAATGATCAATTTAAACTTTAAGGCCCCTATCGTGTGGGCAATCCAATCAGGTTTGCCTGTCAGTTGTTCAGGCGGACCTGATCGGTTGGTCCATGTATTCCTATTGACCGGAAGGTGTAAACAAACTTGTGTCAGTCTACTCCAGTCTACCTCTTATAACCCGGTCCACCAAAAAGAAAAGAAATGGAAGACATTTCCCTTTGTCTAGGCAGATCGGATAGTAGTCGTATGTAAACAGAGAGCCAGTCTGCTTACACCCGACCACCCACAGAGCAGAGCAGACTCTGTCTGTTCTGTATAAACTGGGCGGACACAGATCTGTCATGCGTACTCTGCTCTGCACAGCACAGGATCAGTGGACAGAACCCCTGCTAAGCAAAGTGGATCTGCCTATGAAAGGGACCAAAGACATAAAAACATAAGGGAAGAACAGACATAAGGGAAAGGGAAGAACAAGCTGAACATGTTAGTCAAGTCCAGCATAGTGCAGTAAATCAAAATGTCTAAAGAAACAGAAATAGCAGCGAGTCCTAATTAATGAATGTGGCCTGCTGGCCATGTGAGAAAATAGTCCATTCAAACAGACAATGTGAATAAATATACAAAATGACTGCTTTTGGGCAAGAATACTAATACATCAGTTAATTGATACATTTTTTGTAAAGTTAAAAAAAAAAAACAAAAAAAAAAAAAAAAAACTATGTGCTATAGGGATAAAGATGTGAACCCTGAGCAAAAACTTGATGTCCCTCACCTGTTGTTCCTTGCAGGGGATCCTGGTTTGCACAGGCGGCAACTTGTAAGCGGCTAGATTCTTTGTTGTAACCAAGCCAGCCCCATCCAGAACCCTGAACTGCCACTGACATTGTTGTAAGTTTATCTTTCAACTTCTCGAAAGAACCAAAATCGCGTTTTATTGCTTCCAAAAGTTCACCTAATAAATACAAATATACAATGACAAGCAGGTAAATGCAGCATCTGAAAACAGATTGGTAGCATATGTAGGTTCTGCCCAGATTCTAACACTGGGGTTCACTGCATTGAGGTTTAATTTTCCACATCAGAGACTTGTGCATTTTGAGCTTACGAACGTCTTTTCTGTGAAACCACAGTTAAGAAGTAATTCCCCTCCAACTGAACTACTGTATATATTTTATAAGGGTTTTAACCAACTTTATTGCACATCATTACGTGCTTCTGTTTTGAAGTTAATGATGTATGCCTTGATGCACCTTTTAAAATGGACTGCTAACTGGAAGGTTAGCCTTCACTGTATCTGCCTTATCAATCTCTGCATCTCAGACCTCATTATTCCCCTGTGAATGTTAAACCGGGTCCAGAGAATTTACCATATAGAATTAGAACAAAGCTCCCTATTAAAACAAAATCGCTAAAAACAAAACATAGGATCCTAATGATAATAAGAAATAATAAAAAAAAAGGATCATGTATTAAATAAACAAATCATTTAATACATGATCCTATTTTTATTATTTTCTTTAACAATTATATATGGGGGGGGGGGGGGGGTTGTCAAGTTTTATGTTTTTAGCAATGGTTTTAATAGGGAGCTTTGTTCTAATTCCATATGTTACACTTTGTGAACCGGTAATTGATTAGTAAGCTTACAAGGTTTTTTGTTGGCAGCCAACTATTAGCTTCCAATCATTGCTGGAGTCTTTAGTTTGGTTCCGATTACCATGGTTACCTGTAAACATGTCTAGGGCTCTACTTAATTGACGCATGTCATAGGGCTCCTTAACCTGAGGAAGTCACATGAGCAGTGACGCAAAGCGTCAGGCGGTGCCTAGTGATGTCACTTCCGGTATCGCGCAAACCGGAAAGTGCAGGGAGAGAAAATACCTTTGATATTGTATTTTTATGCCTTTTAGCGGTACACTTTTGTGAGTGAATATTGTTATTGTAATAAAGCGGAATTTTATATGGGGGTTGCACTATGAATTGTCCATCTTTCCCCTGAGCATATACCATCCTAGTGGGAACTCTAGAGTTCGGTCTCTTAAAGAGCCAGTACCAAGGAAATAGCCATTAAAGGACAGCAGTAGATGAGCAGAGATTGATCAATGTTTAAAGTGCTTGTGACCTATTTCCAATACAGGTCAAGGAAGAAGGTGAGTGCATGGTACACTTATTGGTGACTGGAAGTACTATGGATAAATGTACAAGTTGGATAGTGCGAATATTGAAACACTTTGTTGTGGAGCACGTTGACGTTGTGTTCTGTTCTATGTGAGTGCATAAGTTTAGTTCACTTAGTGTGTAGTTTATTTAAACAGTGTTGCACTACAGAATATATTTTGGTTTTTTTTTGCATGGTTTGGAGCCATGACTAAGTGAAGACATATTTGGAGGGAGTAAAACATGGATTTAATCGCAACATGAAAGATATACATTCCAACAAAAGCATTTGACCTATTATAATATGTAGGCCGAATCTTAAGGTGAGCAGGGAGTGTGTCCACCCAAAAGGGGAAGTTCCACTCTAAAGACTGGTCCCCCTCTCCCATTAAGGATTGGCACCTTTGGGGAGCAGATACCCGAAATTTACAGGTACCCTCTCCCCACTTCCGCTGTGATCACCTAGGTGATTGGAAGCAGAAGTTGTCCTCCTACCCTCCCGGTAGTCTTCTGGGACATGTGACAGGTCCCAGAAGACTGCGGGGCCATTCAGGAAGCGCAGCGCTACTCGCGTATGCACAGTGGGCACACAGCTGTGAAGCCGCAAGCTGTCACAGCCGGGTGCCCACACTGAAGATGCCGGCGCCTGGAACACCAGACGGCTTGTGAAACGTGGTACGGGAAGGACACCGTGGGACAGGGGAGTGGCTGTTTTTTTTTTTGTTTTTGTTTTTTTTTTTTTTTAAAAGTCAGCAGCTACAGTTTTTGTAGTTGCCGACTTCTATTTTTATTTTTTTTTTTTTACAGTGTGAGTGGAACTTTGCTTTAATACAACCGCATTTTGGAAAGTGGATGACAGCACAATATTAGGACATTTTGAATCTGGGATTAGATCACTACTCTTTCACAGTTGATTTGTGGGCTGATGCTTATTGCTTACTTGAGTTTTATATACTTTTGAGGAGGAGTTAGCGCACTACATGTAATTTTATGTAACAAAGGGAGTATATCAAGCATACTTTACTGCACATACAGACTGACTTTACTGTTGTGGGTTTAGTAACACTTTAAGATCTGTGCAGAGTTATGGGAAAAATAGTAAGCAGATCAGGTAAACATATATATATATATAGGGATTTTTAGTTCACACATATTGCAATACATGCTTAGGCTGGCCAATTGCGTCAAAGTATTCCCTCTATGGCCAGTCCTACTCTGCCAACGCAAATGCTACTGTGGACACAATGCCAACCTGGGGCAAACAGACAAAAAGTGGGGGAAAGCTACTAGATTTAGTTCTGGCTACTGACCTACTATGTAACAGAAACAAGATATACCTGTGCTCAAATCCACTGTGTGCAGAGGGTTCCTCCAGGATTTCTAGTGTTACCATGTGGTTACACCCCTTTTGCACCTGATAGATAAATGCATGTACAAGCTATTGGGATTTGAGCACAGGTATACCTTGTTTCTGTACATTAGGGTTTCTTAACTTTGTCATGGCCATCAATTTTTTAAGGGCCTAGTTACCACAATGAGCATTACATGTGCTGTAGTGCCATTCCCTCTGAATGGCACACCAACTCACCAAAGCAAAATGCAAAAGAGTGTTGCAATAAACATTTTGTGGCACATCCGATTTTTGGGAGTTGGCAGCCTATGGATTTCTGTCACAACACGCGTTTATACATTGTACAAATGTAAATGGGCTCTCTGGGATTGTAAGTATGAATTGGCCTATTAAAGTGGTGGACAGCACAGTGGTTAGCCTGACAACACTAGGGTCATCTGTTGAAATTCCAACCATGGCACTACCTGCTTGGAGTTTGCATGTTCTCCCTGTGCCTGCTTGGGTTTTCTTCAGGTACTCTGGTTTTCCCCACACTTCAAAGACATGCTGGTAGGTTAGTTGGATCCTGTCTAAATTGGCCCTAGTATGTATATGTATGAATGTGAGTTAGGAACCTTAGATTGTACACTCCTTGAGGGTTAGGGACTGATGTGAATGTACAATATACACTCACCTGCCACTTTATTATTAGATACAGCTAGCTAGTACTAGGTTGGACCTCCTTTTGCCTTCAGAACTGCCTTAATTCTTCGTGGTATAGATTCAACAAGGTGTTGGAAACATTCCTCAGAGATGTTGATTCATATTGACAGAATAGCATCACGCAGTTGCTGCAGACTTGTCGGTTGCACATCCATGATGCGAATCTCCCGTTCCACCACATCCTAACGGTGCTCTATTCGATTGAGATCTGGTGACTGTGGAGGTCATTGTAGTACAGTGAACTCATTTGTCATGTTAAAGAAACCAGTTTGAGATCATTTGAGCTATGTGACATGGTGCATTATCCTGCTGGAAGGGGCCCAAGGTGTGCCAGGAAAATATCCCCCAAACCATTACACCACCAGCATAAACCATTGATACAAGGCAGGATGGATCCATGCTTTCATGTTGTTTATGCCAAATTCTGACCCTACCATCTGAATGTCACAGTTGAAATCAAGACCCATCAGGTAACGTTTTTCCAATCTTCTACTGGCGAATTTTGGTTAGCCTGTGCGAATTGTAGCCTCCATTTCCTGTTCTTAGCTGACAGGAGTGGCACCCGGTGTTGTCTTCTGCTGCTGTAGTCCATCTGCTGCAAGGTTCGACATGTTGTGCATTCAGAGATGGTATTCTGCATACCTTGGTTGTAACAAGCGGTTATTTGAGTTACTCTTGCCTTTCTATCAACTTGAACCAGTCTGCCCATTCTCCCCTGACCTCACCAAGGAATTTTTGTCCACACAACTACCACTCACTGAATATCTTCTCTTTTTTGAACCATTCCCTATAAACCCTAGAGATGGTTGTGAGTGAAAAGCAGATCAGCAGTTTTTAAAATACTCAGACCAGCCCGTTTGGCGCCAACCACCATGCCACATTCAAAGTCACTTAAAACCCCTTTCTTCCCCATTCTGATGCTCGGTTTGAACTTCAGCAAGTCTTCTTCACCATGTCTAGATGCCGCCATGTGATTGGCTAGCTAGTAATTTTTGTTACCAAGCAATTGACCATGTGTACCTAATAAAGAGGCCGGTGAGTGTATATATGTAAAGAGCTATGTAAATTGATGGTGCTAAGTACCTGTAATAACAAATACATTAAAAAAAAATGATAGATATATACACTTTTTTTTTTTCATTTCTCATATACACACACATACATATTATATACACACACGCACACATTTTGTGGTGCAATTTGAGCCCATACAATGTTCACAGTTGGATAGGGAACCAGAGCGTCGCTGGTGGAACTCTTCATGAGACTGTGTGAACTCATGTTGAAGTCACTATGGCAAGCCTGGGTTCACATAGAAGCTGTGCAGGAAACTGCATGCTAATACATGCCGATTCCTGAAAACACATCTATTCATACTAAAACCAGCTACACATGGATTGAAATTCAGCTGGTTCAGCAGGGAATGGCAGAATTTTGATCCATGTATGGGCAACCTGGTTCTATTTATTGACTTCTGTACAACCAGCCTGTTGGGTTTTTTTTCTGAACGATCAGTGCCACTGGCTATAGCTGGCAACACTAATCACTGTATTCTGATGGCAGGAATGTGTTTGTTGGTTGAACTAGTGTCTTTCCAACCTCACCAAGTATAAATCTATGATCCGGCACAGCAGCTTTCTATGGGGGCACTCGTGCGCTTGCTCCCAAGTCTCACCGTCTGCATCTATAGACACAGACAGCAGGACTTGGCCCCACCCCCTGCTGCCTGATCACTGGCTTTTATTGACAGCAGAGAGAGTGAATGGCTCTGGCTGCCTCAGCAAAGCCCGTGAGACCAGGAAGTGAGGAGAGAAGAACTGCAGACAGGCACACTGCTCGATCGGATGAGGGCTCACGTAATTGTAAGGGGTAGGTGAGGGGGATACTACTGCCTAAAAACTTTTTATGAATGTAAAAAAGGTTTTAGAGATTTTCGAACTACTTTAGGCATACTGAATAGTTTTTACACATTAACACTTTGATATTAATTCTAATATGAATATGTAGTATCATCAGTAGTGTTTATATACCAAATTTAGACAAAAATGCATTTTAAATGTCTGCAACTGGCGATGGCAGTAGGAGAGTTCCTTTTCTCCCCGCTACTCCCAATGATTTCCACTAGCTTCCGGGTCTAGTGCTGCCCTGCTGCTTACTGGACACAGGCGGTTACTTGTTTTGGCACTGATGCCATTTACAGAACACTTTGCATTTTCTGAATGATTCCAAAGTGTTCTATGATTGGATGAGATAGAGATCATGTTATCACCTCCACATCTCACCCAAGCAGAGAACTCTTTGCATTCACTCAGAAAATGCTAAGTGTTCCCCAAATGGTGCCTATTACAGTGATTTCCAACTTCCACGGAGATCCCACATGTAGTATATGCGAACACTAACAATTAACTTCTCTTATTTGTTCCCCTTTAGTCTGTTAAATATACAATTGAAAGTGTTTTGTTGTATCTCACAAGTTAGGTCCTTTTCACACATCAGCGGATCCACTTGTCCAGCGGGGGATCTGCGTGCTGATCCCCACTGAGCAAGCAGATGACAGGTCTGTGTCTGCTCTGCATAAGCCCATAGAGCCCGCTGTACTCTATGAGCTGTCGGATAAGAAAAAAAAACGCCTGTGTTTCCATTCAATCCGCCGGACAGATGGGAAATGGATCCTCATCCGTCTGTTCTGTCAAAGAGAGCAATGGAGCATCCAATCGGGCCCGCTTGAAAAACAGTCGGTCCTCTCATGTGAAAGGGGCCTTTAAAAAAAAGATCTTATATTCAATCTTCACTGACCTTGGGGTTCTCCTCCACCATTGGGAGACAGGTTTGTCCAGAAAATTGAGTGATTTATATGGCCTCCCCCATTAAATTTAAGAGCAGGCTGGAGGGAAATTTGAGTAGTAACATCTCCTGCAAAGGTAAAGATTACTTGTTAGACAACAAATAGTAACATTTCTAAACAACACATATAAAGACTGATGTATTCTATATAGAGAACTGATCGCTCCTAATTAACAAAGGGGCTTGCATCACTTTTGTTACTAAGGCCCCGTACACATAAGAAAAGCGTACGAAAAATTATATGGAACCACTGATCGAACAATTTTCTCTTCGTTGATGAGCAGGAGGTTTTAACCGATAACGATATTGTGAACGAAAAAAATCCGGTTGAACAGTGAAAAATGTTGTCGTTTCACACACGAACGACCGATTTTCTATGTGGTGGTATGACGGTTGTACAAAAAAAAAAAATAAAAATCTATCAAGCGCTATCACGCATGAGGAAACAGAAGATGACTCGGATGTTTATGTCCAAGGAATCTTCGTAAACACGAACGAAAAATCCAAATGTTAAAAGTAGATTGGCCGAATGAGATAATGAAACCAGAATTCTGCATATTATATTTTATGTATCACTATTTATGTATATAATAATGTAATAAACTGTATTATACTCATTGCTGTTAATTGTGTATATCGCTCGTTCTGGCCGGAAGAGCGCGGCTACAAGGTCACACGCACACTGCATCACTTCCACTTGTACGGAAGACATCTACACTACGTATTGCCCAAGGAATGATTTTTTGTAGATTGGTTAATGTGGGCCACAATTTCGACCAACGAACGAATGCCTCTCGGTCGTCAGATGACCGATCGGTCAATTTTCTAATCGTGTTTTCCCACCTTTAGGAGCAGCATCTGTTCCGCATTCCAAATTTAGAAGAGTTGTGCAGGCTTGTGCTTGCACAACTCTTTGTTAATTCCCCTGAGTGTGTTTAACCTCTTCATGCCGGTCGCACACAAATGTGCAGCCTCCTGGCATCTGGGCCTAGACGCCCAGCGGCTGCACATTTGTGTGCAAGTAAAAAAACCATATGTGCTGAGAGCGTGTGCCCTGTGCACTACCAGCACACACGTCTGGTACTCACGGAAAGGTCCCGATCTCCTCTTTCGATTGGGACCTTTCCCGATCATGTCACGGCGGTCACATGACCTTAAAACCCCACCCCCCGACTTCTGGAACCCTTAAAGGGCTGGGAGGCACTGGCGCCAAGGGGTTAAATTTGCGGAGCTGTCCATTGGCTTTCAGGTGGTAAGGATTCAGCTTTACAGCCACACAACTGTAAAAGCGAATTTTCAGACCTAAAATGTGAACTTTAACATGTGTGCAAAACCTGAAAAAAAGCTGCTCTGGTAGAAAAGTTAAGGGGGGAGTTGCATGCTGAAGGTTTTTTTACCTTCAAGCATAGGTATAAAACCTTCAGCCTTTACAGCCACTTTTAGTAATATTCTATCCAAAAATGCAGATTTTAACATGTGTGAAAAATAAAAAAAAAATTTCTATCAGCATAAGGGGTAATGACCTTTAGTTATCAAAGGGTTAACAATATTATCCTATTATATGAAGAAGACAGAAGATGTTTATACTATCCTCTCTTTTCATGGTTATTAAATATTATTTAAACACTTCAAGTCTGGACACTTTCACCCCTTCCTGTCCAGGCCAATTTTCAGCTTTCAGTGCTATCACACTTTGAATGCCAATTGTGCGATCATGCAACACTGTACCCATATGAATTTTTTTAGCATTTTTTGAGTCAGATAAAACGTTATTTTGGTTGTATTTATTCACCACTGGGATTTTTTTTTTTTTTTTTTCTATATAAATGAAAAAGTCCAAACATTTTGAAAAAAAAAAAAGTGTTCTTATAACATTTTGCAAATAAATAATCTTTCTTCATAAATCTTGGCCAAAATGTATTCAGCTCTCTTTTTAGTAAAAAAAAAAAAAAAATATATATATATATATATATATATATATATATATATATATATATATATATATATATATATATATATATATATATATATATATAATAATAACCCAAAATTAGTTTATAACCAAAAATTATAATTTTTCAAAAATTGTTTACTTTTTTTTTTTTTTAACACTGTCACCCTAACAGTAGAGTGTCACCACAAATTCTACTTGTGGGGGGTGATGAAGATTTTTTTTTTTTTTTTTTTTTTTTTTTTTTACACTGATTGCTTTTACACCTATAAAGGCTGCAAAAGCAATCATTTCGGATTCTCTCTGGCTGAATTCTTGCAGCCGTTGAGAAATACTGTGAAAGCTGTGATTGGTCACAGCTTGTCACATGGTACAAGGCTGTTGTGAATAGCTTTGTACGATGCGACCTCTGTGATCATTCACAAATTTCACTAGTAGTAAGCAATGATGTCAGCAAGTGACATCTTGCTTACGACTATTCATGTGATCACGGATTGGCCAATCAGTGATCACAAGATCGGAACCTTACAGAGGTCCCGTACAGCGATCGGTTGGACACAGAGGGTACCGGATCGCAGTGCTACGCGCTCCAAGGGAGCGCACACAGGCAGGGAATGCGGGAGGACGTTTATAAACGGCCACCCACTGCTGCACTGCTTCCATCCGGCCGTTTACGTACATTGGCCCAGACGGGAAGTGGTTAAGCATTTGTTTGAATTACTGTGTGCAGCCATTTTTATACCTTTAGCCAGAGCCTCGGCATATTTCTCCTCTGCAATATTTAGGTTGTTGACGTAGGCAGCATGATGTTTATTGTGATGGAGCTGCATAATCTCAGCACTGATATGAGGCTGCAGTGCACCGAAATCATAAGGCAAGTCAGGCAATGTATATTTCTGTCTGGAGGAAGAGCATCCCAAGGCAGGAACAAGTTTAAGGCTTGTTCTGTAAAGAAAAAAAAAAAAAAAAAAAAAAAAAAAAAAAAAGCTCTGAATTGAAGGTCTTTATAAACAGAACAAAACACGAGATTAATATGTGAAAGCACTGTCATGTTAGTGGAACTGAACCATAAGGATTACATTAACAGAAGTAATTTAAAGTGGAACTCCAAGCATATATGCCCCCGCAATGTCAAAGAATATCTATTACTAGATATGGGAGTAATAAAGGACCCCCAGCACCAAGAGTAATAAAAGACTTTCAGCACTGGTGTCAGGGGGAGTAATAAACTCTTAGCACTGGCGGCGGCAGGAGTAATACAGAGCCGGCCAGCACTGGCGGCGGCAGGAGTAATACAGAGCCGGCCAGCACTGGCGGCGGCAGGAGTAATACAGAGCCGGCCAGCACTGGCGGCGGCAGGAGTAATACAGAGCCGGCCAGCACTGGCGGCGGCAGGAGTAATACAGAGCCGGCCAGCACTGGCGGCGGCAGGAGTAATACAGAGCCGGCCAGCACTGGCGGCGGCAGGAGTAATACAGAGCCGGCCAGCACTGGCGGCGGCAGGAGTAATACAGAGCCGGCCAGCACTGGCGGCGGCAGGAGTAATACAGAGCCGGCCAGCACTGGCGGCGGCAGGAGTAATACAGAGCCGGCCAGCACTGGCGGCGGCAGGAGTAATACAGAGCCGGCCAGCACTGGCGGCGGCAGGAGTAATACAGAGCCGGCCAGCACTGGCGGCGGCAGGAGTAATACAGAGCCGGCCAGCACTGGCGGCGGCAGGAGTAATACAGAGCCGGCCAGCACTGGCGGCGGCAGGAGTAATACAGAGCCGGCCAGCACTGGCGGCGGCAGGAGTAATACAGAGCCGGCCAGCACTGGCGGCGGCAGGAGTAATACAGAGCCGGCCAGCACTGGCGGCGGCAGGAGTAATACAGAGCCGGCCAGCACTGGCGGCGGCAGGAGTAATACAGAGCCGGCCAGCACTGGCGGCGGCAGGAGTAATACAGAGCCGGCCAGCACTGGCGGCGGCAGGAGTAATACAGAGCCGGCCAGCACTGGCGGCGGCAGGAGTAATACAGAGCCGGCCAGCACTGGCGGCGGCAGGAGTAATACAGAGCCGGCCAGCACTGGCGGCGGCAGGAGTAATACAGAGCCGGCCAGCACTGGCGGCGGCAGGAGTAATACAGAGCCGGCCAGCACTGGCGGCGGCAGGAGTAATACAGAGCCGGCCAGCACTGGCGGCGGCAGGAGTAATATAGAGCCGGCCAGCACTGGCGGCGGCAGGAGTAATATAGAGCCGCCAGCACTGGCGGCGGCAGGAGTAATATATAGAGCCGCCAGCACTGGCGGCGGCAGGAGTAATATAGAGCCGCCAGCACTGGCGGCGGCAGGAGTAATATAGAGCCGCCAGCACTGGCGGCAGCATATATAGAGCCCCCAGCACTGGCGGCTCAGCGAGAGTAATATAGAGCCACCAGCACTGGTGGCAGCGAGAGTAATATAGAGCCACCAGCACTGGTGGCAGCGAGAGTAATATAGAGCCACCAGCACTGGTGGCAGCGAGAGTAATATAGAGCCACCAGCACTGGCAGCAGCAAGAGTAATATAGAGCCCCCAGCAATGGCAGCAGCGAGTAATAACAAGACCTCCAGCACTGGTGTCAGAGTAATAAAAGACCCAACATTACCTCCTCAAAAAAATAAAAAAAAATGTAAAGCTGAACTCCAGGAACTATTGGCATTGCATACTTACATTGGGCCAGCTTGGCAAAAGTATGCATGGCTCATACATGATGGGCCATTGGGAAAGCTGGAAATCTCTGTAGTATTCTGCACTTCTACATGATCTTCCGGTCCCTCTGCGATTGGCTTTCCTCCTGCACACTGACCAAATGGGAGTCGCTCTCTTGGCTCTGAAGTCACTCACAAAATGCCTTGTAGTATCTTTTCAAATAATACAGCAGATGGAACCACAGTTCAAGGTGGGGACCAGACATCCCAGAAGATTTTTCAGCTACCATAGTTCCACCACAGGATGATGATTGGCGGCATGACAGGTAAGCAATCATCATTCTTTTCAAGCAGCCCTTTTGTTTTATTCATTTAATTTTTTTTTTCCATTTTCTACCATCATTTTATAAGTGTGTATAATAGTGTGTGGTAATTGAACAGATGTGTGAAACTATTTTTACTACCACTGACACCAGTGCTGAAGGTCTTTTATTACACTCAGTACTCTGGAGGTTTTTTATTACTCTCACTGACACCAATGCTGAGTGTCTTTTATTACTCCCATTGATGCTACTGCTGGAGGTCTTTTTTTACTCCCACTGACACCAGTACTGGGGGCTCTATAATACTCTCACTGACACCAGTGCTGGGGGTCTTTCATTACTCCACTGAAAGCAGTGCTGGAGGTCTTTTATTACTTCCACTGACACCAGGGCTGGAGGCCATTTATTACTCTCACTGACACCAGTGCCGGGGGTTTTATATTACTCTCAGTGACACCAGTGCTGGGGGTCTTTTATTACTCACTGTCACCAGTGCTGGGGGTTGTTATTCCCACTTCCACTAGTGCTGGAGGCAGTTTATAACTTTCACTGATGCCAGTACTGGGGGTCTTTTATTGTTCCCACTGACCCCAGTGCTGGAGGCCATTACTCCCACCAGTGTTGGTGGTCTTTTATTACTCCCACTGATGCCAGTGCAGGGGGCTCTAAATTACTCTGATAACAGTGCTGAGGGCTCTATATTACTTTGACACCAGTGCTAAGAGTTTTTCATTACTCCCCGACACCAGAGCTGGAGGTCTTTTATTACTCTTGGTGCTAGGGGTCCTTTATTACTCCCACTGTCAACAGTGCTGAGGGTCTTTTACAGTTGCAAGAAAAAGTATGTGAACCCCTTGGGATTACGTGGAGTTTTGCATGAATTGGGCATAAAATGTGCTCTGAACGTCATCTAAGTCACAACAATAGAAGAACACAGTCTGCTGAACATAATACCACACAAACAGATGTTGCCATGGTTTAATTGCACATAACATGTAAACATTCACAGTGCAGGGAGGAAAAAGTATGTGAACCTTTGGACTTAATAACTGGTTGACCCTCCTTTGGCAGCAATAACCTCAACCAAACGTTTCCTGTAGTTGCAGATCAGACCTGCACAACGATTCTGGAGTCATTTTGGACCACTCCTCTTAACAAAACTGTTTCAGTGTAGCAATATTCTTGGGATGTCTGGTGTGTTTTTTACACAGGTGTGTTTTTTAAGGGCCGGACAGCTGTCAGCAACACATCCAATATCATCACACTGATTGGAGTCAAGGTTGGCTCACTCCTGGCTCCAATTAGCTCTGGGAGAAGTCATTAAGCTAGGACCTCACATACTTTTTCCTCCCTGCACTGTGAATGTTTACATGTTATGTGCAATTAAACCATGGCAAAATCTAATGTTTGTGTAGTATTATGTTCAGCAGACTGCGTTCTTCTATTGTTGTGACTTAGATGACGTTCAGAGCACATTTTATGCCCAATTCACGCAAAACTCCACGTAATCCCAAGGGGTTCACATACTTTTTCTTGCAACTGTATTACTCTCACTGACAATGCTGGGGACTCTATATTACCTTGACACCAGTGCCAAGAGCTTTTTATTACTCCCCCTGATACCAGTGCTGAAAGTCATTTATTACTTTTGGTGCTGGGGGTCCTTTATTAATCCCACTGACACCAGTACTGAAGGTCTTTTATTACTCCCACTGATGCCAGTGCAGGGGCCTCTACATGTCTCTCACGAACGCCAGTGCTGAGGGTCTTGTATTATTCCCACTGACACCAATGCCAGAGAGCTTTTATTACTCCCACCGACGCCAGTGCTGGGGGCTCTACATTACTCCCACCGACGCCAGTGCTGGGGGCTCTACATTACTCCCACCGACGCCACTGCTGGGGGCTCTACATTACTCCCACCGACGCCACTGCTGGGGTCTCTATATTACTTTGATGCCAGTGCTGGCGGTCTCTTAGCACTCCCACCGACGCCAGTGCTGGCGGTCTCTTAGCACTCCCACCGACGCCAGTGCTGGCGGTCTCTTAGCACTCCCACCGACGCCAGTGCTGGCGGTCTCTTAGCACTCCCACCGACGCCAGTGCTGGCGGTCTCTTAGTGCTGGCGGTCTCTTAGCACTCCCACCGACGCCAGTGCTGGCGGTCTCTTAGCACTCCCACCGACGCCAGTGCTGGCGGTCTCTTAGCACTCCCACCGACGCCAGTGCTGGCGGTCTCTTAGTACAGGCTGGCCTCCACACAATCTGAACAGACAGCGATCTGGACCTTCTCTTACAAAGTTCTGGGACCCCAACAAACAAAATAAGAAGGTAACTCTTTCTATACATGAAATCAAGTATCCTCCAGACCTCTGTGTGTACAGTCTATGGGACAGCTGGCACTCTGCCCCTTTAATAAAGTGCCCATATGTCAGCGATGAGAACATTCCATCACATGGCTCAGTTCCAGCAGGCGGAGGGTTCGCTGTCACCCGGGGATATACTCCAACCCTCTACATGTCCCCATAGAGCACGCACACATACCGCACCGGACTGCCAGCACTCACCTGCCGCCCAGGCTCAGTCTGCAGAGCATGGTCTACCAATGTGATTGCACAACCACACAGCACCTCATCCAAGTACTTATGACAGCCTGACCTTGGTCTGTCTCCTCCCACCGCCTCCCTGACTACTTCCGGTGTTAGCGCGGGTACAGCTGTCATCGCGTTCCTGCCTCTGCTTGCCGCCATGGGGCGCTGTGCACCTGTATAAGGGCAGCAGACGTTTTGCCAGTCATTGAGGACTATGGTTCATGGAACATCATCACGTTATAGGGGACTTCAACCCTTCACTTGTGTTTCTGATGTTTTATTTCTCATTTGCATCCTATGATTTCATGATGCAAATGAGTCTGTTTGTGTTGAAGTGTTACTGCACTTTATAATAACATTTCCAG